ATATATATATATATATATATATATATATATATATATATATATATATTTGCAAGCTTTTTTATTGCAAAATAAGTCATGATATTCATGGTTGTTCACTGGACGTTACAACACAATAAACAATGCTCTCACTTTTTATTTTATTATTTCAAGTTAGAACAAAAAACGTCCCTTACTTATTTCTTCACTTTACATCTTTACACGTCTTTTTCTTCCTTCTTCTTTTTACGTAAAACAGGTTAGTGGGATGCAAAAAACAACAAACAACAGCAACATAAATAATAGTAAGATAAGATAAGGGATAAGATAGAACTTTATTGATCCCGCAGGAAATTGTTTTGCCAGAGGTTCAGTACAAGGAATATACACAAGGAATCACACAATATATAAAAACATAACAGAGAATATAAAAGTAACAGAGAATATAAAAAAAATACCAGCAATTAAGTCCTAAACAGGTCAGGCGCAGACATGTGTGAAACGTCTAATGTGTGAAATGTTTTAATGTGAAAACAAAATGTTTATGTGGTGCAGAATTAATTTTTATTGTCCTATGTGCAGAAAGGGGAAGGAGAGAGGAAGAACTTCCTGTGGTGTTCTGTGGAACACCTCGGTGGCCTCAGTCTATGACTATGATGATTTTTTTATTTATTTACCCTTTATTTAGTATCATTGAGTCACCAGAACTCATTTTCAAGAGAGACCACAATAATAATAATAATAATAATAATAATAATAATAATAATAATAATAATAATAATAATGATAATAATAAGCTTGTTTCTGGAGTTACGTGCAAAAGTGGATTCAAAGAAAAATATTTGTTTACGTTCTTACTGATGTACAGTGTAAAAGCATTCAGCATTTTATTTTAGCTTGTAAAAATAAATAAAGTCATTTATGATTGTCTATTGTTGTCGTTGTTATCCACTGTTGTCATCACTGTTTGTTGAAATCAGGTCTCTCTTGTAAACGAGTCCCCGAGGCTCAATGGGATTAACCTGTATAAATAAAGGTTGAATGAATGAAAACTCATACTTCAGACTTTTGTTTTGAAAATTCAAATCTTCCGGAAAATCTGAAGATACGCCCTCTGCCATGACGTCAGAGAAAGTCCGGAAGTAGATTATCTACCGTTCGCACATGGTGAACATGGCAGCGAATGGCGAGAAACAACAGGGCCACAGATCTGGCATTTTCAAACAAAAGAATAAAGAACACAAACATGGCAAACATCGGACGAAAGGGGAAATTGAAAGAGAACACAAAGGTCCGTAATTTATGAAGTGTCGCTACATTGTTTAGCTTGTCACGTTTTTTTTTTTTTTTTGCGTCTGGAAACAAATGTCTGGCTTAGGTAGAGGCATTCAGGTTGAATGCTTTGCGCAAGTTGTGTTTTATGTGTTTATGACTTTTAAAGCACACGTTTTTTGTAACATTTTATTAACTTGTTTAGGGGTTGTTTTTAACTTCTTATTTGGATGAGTTGATTACATTATTACTGTCTAAAGAACCAATTAATGTTTAGATGAATGACTTATTTTGGATTTATTTGGTATAAAAATAAAAGCACTGCATATCATTGCACATATATTTCAGTAATTGTCTAGCACAGTGAATGGGGTGATGTTTGATAGTTTTCCCTAGGCAGAGAAACTACACACATCTTGCACTAGTAACATGAACCAAAATATTCTAAAATCAAGGCCATCTGGCAGCTGAAGTTTGTTCACAAAACAATGATCCAAAGCACAACAACAAATGTACAACAGAATACAGAAATCATTGAGCGTTGCAGCTGCAATTGCTCATAATTCTCTGAAAGATATTGTTGAATAAAAATATTAGTGTCAAATGTAGTTCATTTTATGTTCCATTCTTCCTGTTTTAAAATGTGAGGTAGAGCCTGATCATGTTTTTAAGTGCTGGGATGTAAACCACCTTGTACAATAATAAGGTATATTCTTCTAACTATTAATAAAGTTATTGCTATTATGTATTATTTTTATAATTATTTATATGTTATCATTTAATAATGGGGAAAAAAATTGTATCTAATCTGTTTTTGTGTTGACCTGTCTCATAGGGAGGGTGTCGGTGACGGTGCTTACCAAAAAACAGAGGAAGGAGCAAAAGAAGATGGACAGAAGACACAAAGCAAACCAGATACGCAGAAACAAAAAAGACATGGTATTATTATTATTATTTTATTACTTTTGTTACAGATTCCTGAACAACATCTTGCTTGATGTTGCAGTTTTCATGTCTCCCTTTCTCCTTTAGGTCCTGATGGAAAAGCGGCGTCTCGGCACCAGGGACGGTCCTCCACACTTGGTCGCCGTCGTATCCCTGCATGCTGAAGCGGATGCTGCAGCTGTTACCAAATTGTTACGTGGAGACGGTGCTGGGGGCATTGTGCATCAAGAGCAATGCGTCAGTGGTGTCAGTGACAGCTTTGGACTGATTCTGCCTCGTTTTAAACAAAGGTTCACCTTTCTAAACCAGAGCACAGGTAAGTTTTGTGAAATGGGAGGTAGATGTAAAATGAGTTCAGTCAATGAAACTAAATGGCTTTATGCTTAACTCTGTGATACTTTGTTTTACCCTGAAACTTTTGTTTATTTCTTTGGACAGCTGACATGCACTCCCTGTTAGATGTGGTAAAGGTTGCAGATAGTCTTGTGTTTGTGCTGGACTCTACTGAAGGTTGGGACACTTATGGAGACCATTGTCTCTCCTGTCTCTTTGCCCAAGGTCTCCCCAGCCATGGTGAGTTTAAATGTAGAACATAAACGTGATTTTTCACAACTTTACATTGACACAGATTTTTTTTTGTTTGTTTGTTAATTTTCTGCTATGTCACCTTTCTCTCAAATTCCCCACCACATGTAGCTCTGGTTTGTCAGGGTGTGTCGGAAACTCCAGTGAAGAAAAGAGTTGAATCCAGAAGAGCGTTGTTAAAGATCACAGAAGTTCGGTTCCCTGATGCTCGTCTCTTCCCTCTGGACTCGGAACAAGATGGCATTCTTCTTCTCAGACACCTTGGCAGTCAGAAACAAAGAAAGCTGGGTTTCCGTTCCAGACGTTCTCATCTTTTAGCACAACATGTCACTTTTACACCCAACAGTCCTTCTGAGGTGACGGGCAGTGGGCCCACTGGTCTTGGCACTCTCCGTGTCTCTGGGTATGTTCGTGGTCGTGCTCTGTGCGTTGACAGACTTGTGCACATCAGCGGGCATGGAGACTTTCAGCTCAGCCAGGTTGATGCTCCACCAGACCCTCTCCCTCTCAACTTAACACCAGCCAGAACAAAAAAGTCGGGCAAAGAAGGCGACTTTGAAATGCAGGTGAGTGTGTTGGGGTTAAAGTTGATGATTACAAATCCGAATCAGCTTTATTGTCATTGCACTGAAGCACAACAAAATTATATTTCAGTACAGCCCGTCCAAGTAAAATACAAACAAACAGACATGGGTAGACGGAGGTGTCTGAGGCTGCGGCCTCATGCGAGGCGCTGACCTTTTTGTTAAGATAAGGAAAAGAGAAAGTAAGAGGAGGTGTATCATATCTCACACTGTCCTAGATGGGACACAGCGTAAAAGTAGCAAATCCCCCCCCCCCCCCCCCAAAACCTCAGCACATAAATAGCAACATTGATGACATTATACAAATGCACGAGGAAGGCTGACGAAGGCAGTGAGTTTGTCCGTGGACACTGCCAAGTAGTTCCATAGTCCTGAGATGAGATGGTGCAGTGTCTGCCAGCCGGTTCAGCTCTGGCACAGGCCCACAGATGTCCTCGAGAAAAGGAGCGGGTAGGGGAGTGGGGAAGCAGAGCTTCTTGTTCACATAACATCCAGGAGAGTTTGAGATAGTTGGCCAATTCAAGGCCAACACGGGGGAGCCAGATTCAGATAACAATTATTTTGGGTCAGACAAACTCTGTTTGATTTCTGTCTGCCTCATAGTTCTGCTGGTACGTGTCAATGGCGACTCCAAACAGCCAACTTTTGTGGTCAACACCGCCGGGCCAAGCTTGTAGCTTCTCCAAGGTTGATTCCTTCTCACCAACGAGTTTCAAGGGCTGCAAGCGGTCTGCGATTCTCTGAAATCGCATCCAGCTTATGGCTCAGCTCACACAGCATCCGAGTCTGAGTGCTCACCGCAGGGCACTTTCCATCACACAAGCCGGGCAGCCTCACAACAGCCAGATCAGCTGCCAAGGTTTTTCGCATTTGTTGATATGCCAGGTAACCACCAACTCCAAAAAGCAGAAATCCTGTTATCATAAATCTAACTGCCCCCAGGAATCCATCGTGTATCCAGCTGCAAGTGTCCCATCAGGGCAAGAGGGCTCTCCTTCACCCTGTTGTCTCGTCGAGAAAATTTTATTAACTGCGTTGAGAGACCAGCTGACCAGATCCATAATTTATATTTCAGAAGATATGTAAAGGGGTGCAGTTTTCTGGCCAATCACCAATTTCTAAAAAGTCTGACCTGCCGGTTCCGATTTTGGCCGATACCGATTTTTTTTTATAAGCGACACTGTCAAGTGTTATAAGGTCACAATGCACCTTCAATTTTCCAATCTTGTTTTATTGAAAAAAAAACATACCCTTGAACAATATCCTAGAAACGATACAAACATGTTTTAACTGGCCATGAGGTGCTCTGAAATTTAAATGAAGTTTAGACAATTGTTAAAACTAAAAAATTGGTAAAATTGGTTTCTCATGTAAGTATCGTCCGATTTCCCAAAATTAAGGAAATAAATAAATCGGCCGGCCGATTTATCGGTGCACCCCTAAAAGAAAGGCTCCGATAGGGTTCACAGGACAAAGAGCAGGAGGGGGAGAGAAAAATGTCTGCCTTCATCGAGAGCAAGCAGGAAAAATCTCCAGATTGTAACTAAAAACCCTAAACATCTTTATAATGTTTGGCAAAAACATGGGGAGGGATGCTTGAACAGTGCTGTTAATTAATGATTTATAAACACAAACTGATTCCTTTTATTAAACAGCTGATCAGAAGTCAACCCTCTCTTTCTGTTAATGGATTTTTGTGTGTTCCGGTTCATTTCAGCTTATTATACCGTATTCATTTATAATAAAAGTCCAAACCTCATGCTACACAAAAAATAATTTGGTTAATTAACAATCAGTCTAATCCAGTTATACAAATAAATGCATCATCCATCCATCATCTTTACTCACATCTTCCTTTTCGGGTCGTGGGGGTCACTGGTGCCCATGTCCAGCCATCACTGTGTGAGGGGCAGGGGCCACCCTGGACAGGTCACAAGTCTGTCACAGGGCATGCATCACAGTTATTTTTTTTATCCTAATAAAATTCTGTGAGGTCACATTTTGTTTGGACTTGTGCAATGTTAAAAATGAAATGCACTACTCAAATTGACTAACCAGATTACCCATTGGGGGTAATACTGTCATGATACCAACACAGTGCATATACATGGGCTTTACTAAGAGTTTGCTTGAATTTAAAAAAGGACCTGTATGACCTCTAAACTGGTTTCAGCTAGCAAAATGTGGTAGCTTGGTGGTCAGTGCTGTGGTATTGTAATCCTGAGGTTGCGGGTTTGAGCCCAGGTTACGCTAGGAAGGGTTTCCAATGTAAAACAATTGTCAAATCTTTTATGCGAGTTCGCTCGCTGTGGCAACCCCTGAAGAAGGGAAAGAAACTTACTTTCTCTCATTGTCTTTGTGTGCCACAGGATGGAAATGAAAACGAGGTTCCGATCAGGGTGCTCATGAAAGCAGACCCTTCCTGCCAGGAGAGTCTGCAGTCAGAGGCCGAGGTGAACCCGATGGACGGAGAGCAGACGTGGCCAACAGAGTCAGAACTGATGGAAGCTGAAGGTCAAGGAATCAAACGGACCTATGACGTTTTGAAATTATAAAGACATGAATGGAAATTAAGATAACAAGAAACCTAAATGAAGTCTGATGGGTCAGAACAGCTAAAGCTAAAAGAAATAAAACGAGTCGTAAAGCTGATATGTCACCTTTACAATCACCAGAGTTAATATAAACGAATAAGCAAAGCTATTTCAAATGCTAAATGTTTTATCTTGCCACAAAAATACCAATTTATTAACTTTAATTGTCTGCTGTCTTGCTGTGTAGAAGCCAGAAAGACTAAACGAGTGATGAAAGTCCCCAAGGGAACATCAGACTACCAGGCTACATGGATCGTTGATGAAGATGAAGAGGAGAATGATGACTTAGATGAAGAAAGCAGTGATGATGATGATGACGATGACATAATGGATGAAGCCATGGAGCGGGACGATGAGGAGAATGACTCTCAGGTACATACTGCAGATGTTTACGGACAAGAAATAAGTGAGAAAAGATTAAATTAGTTGCAAGTCGAAATCTTTTATTAAACACATTTTTTTCTGTGCAATTGTCTCAACAATAATTTTGATTCAAATTGCATAATAATTGTCTTTTTAATAGGGGTGTGAATCTCAGTGTCTGGTGATTTGATTCAATTCCGATTTTTGGTTTCACGATTAGATTCAGAAACAATTTTCAGTTCAGAACTGATGTTTCTATTGAAATGGTCATAAATTTTGTTTAAATTATGTAACGGACAAGATGAAAAGATTAAACAACAATGTAAACAAATAGAACATTTATTTAAAACATAAATTTTAGGTTCCTTAAATCTTTTTGCATCATTTCATATTTATACCAAAAATAGGAACAAATATAGGAGTGCATAAAATTCTACCAGTGCAGTAGTCCCTCGCTACTTCGCGGGCTCGCTCTATCGCGGTTTTTCAAAGTGACACACAATGGCTGATTGATGGGTGAGCTGATGGATGAGCCTCACGATCGGCATGGATTTTTTAATTAATAATAAATTATTTTAAATGATTTAGCACCTGTGTGCAGCCCACAGCTGAGGGATAACTTCTTCTCTGCACGGAGATCAGTGGAGAAGTGGGCGTGGCCTAGAGTGCAGCCGGAGGCAGAGAGCTGAGTTCATGACATTCTGTGCTCTTTTAGAGCGTTTAGAGTTGTACAACTATTCCTACTTCGCGGTTTTTCATTTATCGCGGGGCTTCAGGGTACGAATCCCCCACGATAAACGAGTATTAGCTTAGCTGCATGGCTTATTGTAAAATAAAATAAAAAATCTAGGAACAAATAATTCATCCATCAATTATAAAATGAGTTTTGTAAATGAATCCCTCATTGGGATTAATCTGTATAAATAAAGGTTGAATGAATGAATGAAAATGATCTTTACCCACTTCTTCCTTTACGAGTCACGAGGGTCACTAGTGCCCATATCCAGCCACCACTGTGCGTAAGGCGGGGGGACACCCTGGACAGGTCTCCAGTCCATCACAGACAAATAATTCAAAATGTATAAATACAAAAGTAAACAGATTTCAGCCCATCATAGAACAATAACCTTTAACTCAACATGAAGTACAAACTTCACAGCTATTTTTTATTTTTTTTACCATAATTGCACTAACATTTGCTATATTTTCAAAACCTAATCTAATATGAAATATACAGACGTTTAACCGTATTGATTCATATTTGGTAAATCTTTAATAAAATTTCCAAACCTGCGCAAATCTGCACAAAAACTCTTCTGAACTGTAATAATTTATAAACCATAATTTAAAGCGGGCTCCGGGCGATGTGTCTCAGTTGGCCTCTCCTCAACCTGTTCAAAAGACAAATTACATAAAGTTTGTTGTATAACTTGTCTATATAAGTTTTTGTATATTATGAAAAAAAGCAGTTAGCTTTGAGCTGCAGCTGGTAGCATTAATCAGAGCGTCGCCCACTTTATTCTTTGTTTCATGGTGGAGTTGTGACGCGGCTTTATCACAAAAAAGCTACGTGAAGGAATAACGTACGTTGGGTCCAGCGTATTAAAAATAAACCTAAACCCTTCGCCTTCCACTGAGCTGTTTGCTCGTAAATCCTCTGTGATATAGCAGGAGATGGAGAGGGAAATCGCAGCTCTTGGAGAATTAGCTGGAAGTTTTTTTGCTCAGTTCGCTGGTCGGCTGCTTCGCTTTTCTGCTTCCTTCCGCGCATTTTGTCGTATTTCCAAAACACTGTACCGCAATTTTATTTTACACTTCTTACAAACAACCGCGCGCTTTTCAAGTTCTGTCTTCCCCCGGGACATCGTAGGATCTGAAATAATTTTACACTGAGTTTTAACGACGATGGGGCGAGTTGAATCGCGCTGTCCTCCCGCGCCATGCTAGCGGACTCCATTCAGATAAAAGGAGCTGGCTAACTAGCTTACTGTACGGTGGCCTACAAGGCCAAATTCTACGGTGACGGGTGGACACATAATGAGATATGCAGTACGCTTGGGAGTAGTAGCGGAAAAAAAGAAACTTAAGCGCATTTTAAAATCGCTTTATGGGCTTTAGAATCGATCTAGAATCCCAAGGACTGGGATTCTAGATTCTTTAATGAATCAGTTTTTCTGCACCCCTACTATTTATTATATTTTTTGTCATTATTCATTACATGCTTAGCTTGAATGCACCATGAGACGGCGTTTGTTTCATTGCGCCTTGTTGTTATAGCAACAGTGCTGCTAATGCTATACACTGACATCAATTTGAGGACGATGAGAGTATTAATCTGTGCAAAAGTCTTGTTCTGGCGCTGGAGTGGTGCATACGTGACCCACGGTTAGTGCACCTCGCTGCTGAGAGGCACTGTTTGTTTTCTCTGCGTCTGTCTCTGGCCTGCAGTGCCAGGCAACTCGCCACACCACAACAATAGTGTTTGGAGGCTCGAGTCCCGAGAGAAGCCTCCCGTCTTCCTGTCTTGTGAACAGAGCTTCCTGTCTGGATGAAGGAAGGGGGTCAGCGATTTATTTATTTCCAGCTCTGCTTGAAAAGAAGTCGGGGGCGAACTCGCTTTTAAAACGGGTTCATTACGATCTGGAATTGTTAATAGCATTTGATGTTGAGGTTAGCTCATAGAAATACAAATTTGGGAGAGAATAACAATAGGGGAAGGGGTAGTACTTCAAATAGTAATGATTATTATTATTGCAGCAAGGATGTTGGAGAGGTTGTGAATCAGCCCCACACTGTGTGTCTTCCGCTCTTGTGTCTGGCTTCTCCTGTAATTTGCCAGTCAAGCGTAGCGGTCCTCTTTGATGGATCGTTTCCTTTCATAAATCAGTTGCAAGTGCAAGTTGCATTTCTAGATCCAGAGATAAGGAAGGATGTCCTGCCCTGTCCTTACTTTCCTCGTTTGGCAAATCGCTCAATTTAAATGTATGCAAAGCAGGGATTCCCATAAGTTAGTCTGGGAAAGTCTTATCTCGTTCACACATGCAAATGCAAGCTCTATTATTACATTATGACAATAAACAAGCACACTCCCCGAGGAAAGGCTTGGGTGCCAAAATGCGTCAGAGTTTCATATGTCAACATGACCATGTGGTGAAAGTTGAAGCGTTTTATCAGAGCGTGCCTTGACGTTTTTTGACTTTCAACTCCTTGCCTGTCCCTTTCAAAGAGCACCTCAAACAAATCCACGGTGGAGGAAGGGCTCCTACACAAACAACATGTTTGAATAAGCAAACGCTCTTTGTTTATTGCCTCTGAGTTGGTTATGTTTGGCGGTAATACAATTGCAGTTTCTATACTTGGAATCTTTCCGAATGCATTTGTGTTGACAACATTCATGTTTTATCAAATATTGAGACCGCTGTCGAGAAATGAATACGGGAAACAACACAATATACACAACAGCACACTCCTCTCCGTGTATTTTCATCCAGTGTTGGTTGTAAAAATTAGATGAGTTTTTGAGATGGATTTTTTTATAATTCGAAATGAATGAAAATGTATTTTGCTGATATGTCAGCATATGACTGCATGGCATTATAGAGAGGCGTGGACTGTTTGTTGAGTTCAAAAACTATTTTTCTTGAATGTGTATTTAATCGTCTCAGGTTTGGCAGTAAAAAGATGGTACTGTTCATTCAACCTTTATTTATACAGGTTAATCCCATTGAGCCTCGGGGACTCTTACAAGAGAGAACTAAATTTTAACAGAGTGTTGACAACAGTGAACAACAACGACAACAATAGACGATCATAAAGGATGCATACAATTTTCTTTTAACAAGTGAAAATAAAATGTTAATTAAAAGGAAAATTAAAAGGAAACGTAGCGAAAAAACAGCTCGATTGTAAGGCGTTGTAGAAAACTAAAAACAGGAACATGTCTGCATTGGTTTTTGCCAGGAACTTAACAGATGTTTAAATCCACTTAGAGAGGTCAAGGTCAAGAGCTAAAGATCTTTTGAGGATAAAATCAGCGGAAGAACTGCTGGGACAGACTTCCTGTTTGAAATAGCATCCCTTTTGTTTTGTCGGCGTTTAGGACAAATTTGAGACGGAACAAATCTGACTGGATGATGTCAAAGGCGGACTGCAAAAGCTGGAAAGCCTTAGCAACTGTTTTAGCTCGACAATAAACAACTGTGTCATCGGCATAGAAATGTATGGATGCATTAGGGATGCTTTGACCTTCCATACCATACCATACCAATTAATTTATATAGCACTTAAAACAGCAACAAGGCCAACCAAAGTGCACTTGGTACTTGGTGCACTTGGAAGTGCACTACCTTCGGTAGTGGACAATCAAAACTCTTGCTTTTGTGTTTTGCAGACTTGAATGTTGTGTCACTCAATGACCAGTTTTGCTTCCTCGACACGCTAATATTATTAGCATTAGCCAGGCAGAAATGACATAGGCTGCACATGCGCAGTCAGGTCAGTTTTTAACGATTGGGGAAAAAAAAGAACAGATTAAGTGTTTACATGCACACCGTTAGGATTAAGGATCGGCGTAAACCACCCGTTTCGTTCTGATTACAAATTCTTTCGGATTGCGCTGAATAAACAAAAAATAATCAGAATTGGGCCTTTACATGATGTATTTTTATTCCGAATGGCCGTTTAACTCGATTACTTATGTTCATGTAAACATAGCTAATGGTGTACCACAAGGCTCAGTCTTAGGACCAAACCTCTTTACAATCTACATAGGTAATGTAGGTTAGTGAATATAGCCTGCTTATAAAATGGAGGTCAGGTGATAAAACAGAAGAAGAGGTTGCATAAGTCTGCTGTGTGTTGGTCCTGTGATGCAGCAGAGCTTTGCATGTCTGAACAGCTCACCTGACTGAGATCATTTCAGATCTCCGCAGCTGTAAACAGAGTGATAGGTTGGGGGTATTCAAAGGCTTTAAGTTGGTATTTACTTTAAATTCATTTAAATGATTCTAACCACATTTTTAAACCCATGAAATGCTCATTTAAAGGTTCTGATTTTTGTGTTATTCACAATGTGAAAGAAACTATTTTTTGTAATTTGCACGCAACGAAGGGGAAATAGTTTTTTTCTAGGGCCACAAATAAAATCGATAAGTTTACAGTAGGAGAGTTTGTTGTATTATTATTCAAACCTGTATTGGCAGGATGTGTTCATAATGCTGGCATGATGAATCAGATGGGTATTTTTTTTCTTCTCCCTTTAGGAGCCTGATTCATGCTGTGCTTCAGAAGAGGAGGAGGAAGTAGAGGTGTGCTCCACCGAGCGAGCTGGAGCCGATCAGCAGTACGACGAACACATGGATGAAACAGCCGAAGAAGAAGGCCTGAAACGCTACAGAGAGGCTCGGTCCCATGAGATGTTTCCTGACGAGGTGGACACGCCTATGGACACGCCTGCTAAAATCAGGTAGTGGTTTGAGTCCTGCTAATGATTAGGGATGTACTTTATTGGATTTTTGGCTGATATCCGATATGCCAATATAATGAAACTTATTTGGTCGATAACCAATACCAATATCGATATTTCTTTTCCTAGACCTACTTACAGAGACTACATAGCTTTCTCTGCCGTGGAATTAAAATACATTATTCTGCATGGTCTTTGTCAGTTTGGCCTGTTACCAAATGCAGATGCCCAAAGGGGGGCTGAAAACTATGTAACGCTTCAACTGGATTATGTTTAATGTCAAATTTATTGATGACATTTACTCTCTCTAACACAACAACATTCAAACAGTCATACAAAAACATATGTTTTGTATGTTTTTGTATATAACAGATCCTTTTATATTGGTGAGTTATTTTCATGAATTGGCCGATGTCCGATATTTAACTTTATCGCTAATATCGTCCGATACCATGCCGATAATATCGTGCATGATAAATTATATGACTAATGGTAGAACCAGCACAGTTCAGTTTGTTTTTGTGTTCCCAGGTTCCAACGCTACAGGGGCTTGAAAAGTTTCCGCTCCTCGCCGTGGGACCCCATGGAGAACTTACCTCTGGACTATTCACGCATTTTCCAGTTCCAGAGTTTCGAACGCACTCGCCGACGCATCCTGGCTGAGGCTACATCGGATGACGAGGGAGCAATGGTGTTAAAGATACAGCTTTCTTAATCAGTAAACAACAGGTTGTTCAATATATGAATTATAGGTTCTATCACACGTCTGCCTCTCTGTTTCAGGTCGGCTGGTACGTGACGCTGCACGTCACTGATGTGCCTTTCTCCGTGATGGAGAGCGTTCAGTCTGGCAAACCTCTGTTGTTGGTGTCTCTCCTGCCTCATGAGCAGAAGGTATCAACGTTTCCGAGCTTCCATTTGAGGCGCCATCACACACATGCACATTATTTTTGTGTCAGACATTTCTGGTCTCGTTATTTTTCTTGCTGTGAACAGATGTCAGTGATGCATGTCCTGGTGAGGAGACACCCCAGCAACACTGAGCCAATCAAATCCAAGGAGGAGCTTGTGTTTCACTGTGGGTTTCGGAGATTCCGGGCCATGCCTATATTCTCTCAGCACACATCAGGTAGAACATTTATTCATTGTCAAACAAAAGTTACTCGTGCTATGTTGTGAGTTTTTATGTGATTTGTTAAAATATATGTTAAGGATGACTCAACTACTGCTACGCTGGCTTTTTGCTCAGTATCTGTAAAACTGACTAAGCCTAGGGTCACTCTGCAGCTCTTAATACTCAGTTTTGATTTTTTTTTTTGCTCAGATTAAAAAAAATTAGCATAGTTGTATACAACATATAATTTAAATTCGACCTCCATCAGACCCCAGTGTGAACAGTCGACAGCCCTGATGCAACATGTAGCATGCTGGGTTTAAGAAAGTAAATATGAATGCTACACATGTTAGCATGTGTGTATCCATTCTGAAATTGCTGTGCAATCTGAACTGGTTCAATTATTATCTGACGTGATTGTTTTGTCCAGTATTTGCTTGCCTTCCGACTACTCCGGCACAGAATTACACATCTGGAACAGGAGCGATGTGCTGAAAGTGAAACAAATTCAAGTATCGATCGATCACGTTAGTATCAGTACGGTCCGACACTAACGTTAGTATCATATGTTGCTGTAGATCCTTAGTCGTCCGGGACAGGACAAATAAAAAAAGGACACTAAGCAGCTGGACTGCTGTTCTGTAGCTAAAGATGTGTGGCGTTCCATGATTTAACCTGCATGATGTTGGTATCAATACTTGGGTCGATCTGCATACCTCTCCCTCACTGACATGTTGGATGAAATGTGACATGACCATTCAGACTGAGGTCGCTTTGACAAACATCAGATATGAATCAGGTTTAGTACCACATATTAAAAAGATTTGAATTTTAAAAAAATCATATTGGTCACTGGGGGGCAAACAAATAACCTGATTTGGGTCACTTTTGCCTGCAGAGTGAACAAAGCTCAACTTCCAGTCATTTTTATATTTGCTAATGTTGCTTAGCTGTGGCGGCCATTAGGGCTGGACGATATGGCCAAAAGTTTTATCACGATATATTTCTTAATTTCGGTCGATAACAATATAATTCCGATATAAACAATATAAAAACCTCAGAAAAACTGTACAAACTGTAAAAATAAATTAATGTTCACCCTGTATTTATATTTTAGCCTTCAAAAGGAATTTGAAATCACTGTCAAATAAACATAATCTCTTAACTTTGTCAATATTAATACGTTTTAACTTTAAACGACAACATAACCCTAACCCATGCAGCAAACGCAGACGTTTGCTGCATGGGTTAGGGTTATGAGTGATATCACTATTAACGGCGATATGAGTTAGAAACTCATATCACCGTTACTGAATAAAAGTATATTGTGATATATATCTATATCAAATTATTGTCCAGCCCTAGCGGCCATCTAAGATTTGGTTAACTCCGTCATAGATGGCCATCCAATCATTAGTTTTTGAAAGTTTCATTAAAACTCGTTCAGTCGTTTATAAGATGTTTAACTATTGGTACAGACAAACAGAAAAATGTTCTTACCTCCAACGGCAATAAAAATTTTCAGCTTAAAAATTCAAATTTGCTGCAATTTGAGTGAAAAAGGAGGTTTGATGAGATGTCCTTGCTGTGTTTCACAAATGCATTGTTGACTGATGATTTATGTTCTCCAGCTGATAAGCATAAGATGGAGCGCTTCCTCAAACCAGATGCCCCCACTGTGGTGTCAGTGTACGCCCCCATCACCTTCTCTCCTGCAGGGGTGCTGCTCTTCAAACAGAGGAATGATGGTGAGCTTATAAGTTTTAACAGACCGTGATGTTAGTAAACGGTGCTTGCTGGTTAAATGTTCAGTCAGTTGTGTTCACGTGTCCTCTCGTGTTCTGCACAGGCATTTGAGCTCGTTCTTTCTGTGTCTTTGTAGGCGTCCAGGACCTGGTGGCCACGGGCAGTCTGCTCAGCTGTGACCCTCGGCGTGTTGTGCTCAAGAGGATCGTGCTGAGTGGACACCCGTTTAAAATTAACAGGCGTTCAGCTGTAGTTCGTTACATGTTCTTTAACAGGGGTGAGAGAATGCACTTTCTTTACTGAGGTTAATAATGTGGCTCGTCCGAGAGTTTAATCCTCCTCTTGTTTGTTTCTGTGACAGATGACATCATGTGGTTCAAACCAGTGGAGCTACGGACAAAGTGGGGTCGGAGAGGCCACATAAAAGATGCTTTAGGTGAAGAAATTAGAAAGCAAATCTGATTTTCTGCTGCTGCTTTTAACAATAGCCTTCCCATGCGAGTTTTAATTGTTTTTCTTACTTTTTTTTTGTTCAGGAACACACGGTCACATGAAGTGTGTCTTTGATAACCAGCTGCGCTCTCAAGACACTGTTCTGATGAACCTGTACAAGAGGGTCTATCCTCGCTGGACATACGACCCATACGTGCCCCCACAGTTACCTTGGTTCAAGAGAGAGGTTACGGTTGAATTGGATGACTCGGACATGGAATAGTGAGAGAATAAAGTCAGAAATTTAAGAGAAGCAAGATGTGTATTCAACTGAACATTATCACATTTAAATAAATATATTAAGTATAAAAAAGTGTAAACCAGAGTTTTTATTTTATTTTATTAGTTCACTGGTTTTAACTTGCTGCTATGTTTGTGTTGGCCACAAGGTGGCAGTCATGAATAAGTAACAATAATTGTAACTTGTCAGCAAAAAAAGTAAAAAAAAAAAGTGACAAATTCTATTAAACAAAAAACTGTTTACACAAAGTACTTAATGATTAAACAATTCCAAGTGGTGTTACCACAACAACTTGTAATAATTCTAACATTCACTCATGCATCAAGCTCATTTACTTTCTTTGAAGCCGTGCTCATGTTGTAAATGCCTGCAGCTGCACTCAAATGTTAGAACGAGGACAAAATAATTATGTAGATGACGTTATATTAGAGGAAGTCTAATCATGGACCAAGAACTCCCATGTTGTACTTTTAGCTCCACATCATCAATGAGTTATTTTTCAGAATTTAGACAAATAGCAGCTGTCAGGTTTATTTATATATCTTTTATCGCAAACATGCTTTAGTGGATCTTACTTTAAAAGTCCTATCGGGATGTAATAAATCTCTAGCTCTAGAGTGTGTTTAATACATCCAACTACAACACAGCAAAATGCTAGATTAGATATTTAAGCCCTTTTCAAAATAAACGGTGCCAACATTACATCAGTGATAAAGACAGGAGAGAAAAACTGGAAGTGTGATTTTTCTGCCTCGCCAACTCTAAGCATAGTTTAACACAGTGTTGATATTAAAATTTTAATTCAATTCAGTGTATATAGCGCCAATTCACAACAAAGTTGTCTCAGGGCACTTTACAGAAACATTCACATACATAAAAAGCCAATTTGAAAAGTTCTCTAAGGAAGCCAGCAGACTCGTTGAATCTTCTCTTCGTCTCAGTCTCCCATTCTGAGCAAGTGCGATGGCAAAAAGAAAAAACTCCTTTTTAAAAGGAAGAAACCTCCAGCAGAACCAGGCTCAGGACAAGCAGCCACCTGCTTTGACCGGCTGGTTTTGAGAGGACAGGAAGGAGAGACAAACGAACACAGAATGGCAGGTCTAGATGTTGGTGCAGGTGTACCTTCTATTGGAAGAAAGACAAGAACATGTCAAGGATAGAAAAAAATACAAAACAGGTTGAACAGAGTAAGTAAAGACAGTAGTGGAAGAAAGGTGGCCAGTTTGTCCTCCAGCAGTCTTAAGCCTGTAGCAGCATAACTAGATAGCTCAGGAAACCCATGCTAACCCCAACTAGGATTTATCAAAAAGGAAAGTTTTAAGCCCGGTCTTAAAATGACAATGTGTCAGCTTCGTGGACAGAAAGTGGAAGTTGGTTCCACAAGAGAGGAGCCTGATAACTAAAAGATCCTCCATCATGTTTTTGGAAACTAGGGACCATGAGTAAGCCTGCAGTCTGAAAGCAAAGTGCTCTGTTAGGAAAATATGAAACAATAAGATCTCGAATATAAGATGCAGCTAGGTTGTTGAGAGCTTTGTAAATTAGAAGTAAGATTTAAAAAAAAAAAAGATAATTCTTTGTCTATCAGCAGTAGAGATGCACGATATTGGATTTTCGACAGTTATCCAATATGCCAATTTGTTAAAACTTATTTGGCTTATAACCTATACCCGTCTTAATACCCCCCCCCCCCCCCAAGACTTACAACTACATAGCTTTCTCTGCTCTGGGATTAAAATACATTATTCTGTATGGTCTTTGTCAGTTTGTCCTGCTACCAAGCACAGATGCCAAAAAAGGGAATGAAAATGATGTAACTTAGATTATGTTCAATGTCAAATTTAAATGTTAAATTTTATGTCTTTTATTTATATATATATATATATATATATATACAGTGAGGAAAATAAGTATTTGAACACCCTGCAACTTTGCAAGTTCTCCCACTTAGAAATCATGGAGGGGTCTGAAATTTTCATCTTCGGTGCATGTCCACAAAAAAAATCTGGAAATCAATGCATGATTTTTTAAATAATTTATTTTGTGTGTTACTGCTGCAAATAAGTATTTGAACACCTGTGAAAATCAATGTTAATATTTGGTACAGTAGCCTTTGTTTGCAGTTACAGAGGTCAAAGGTTTCCTGTAGTTTGTCACCAGGTGTGCACACACTGCAGCAGAGATTTTGGTCCATTCCTCCACACAGATCTTCTCTAGATCAGCCAGGTTTCTGGGCTGTCGCTGAGAAACACAGAGTTTGAGCTCCCTCCAAAGATTTTCTAGGGTTTATGTCGGAGACTGGCTAGGCCACTCCAGAATCTTGATATGCTTCTTACGGAGCCACTCCTTGGTTCTCCTGGCTGCGTGCTTCAGGTCATTGTCATGTTGGAAGACCCAGCCACGACCCATCTTCAATGTTCTAACTGAGGGAAAGAGTTTGTTCCCTAAAATCTCAATACATGGCCCCGGTCATCCTCTCCTTAATACAGTGCAGTCGTCCTGTCCCACGTGCAGAAAAACATCCCCAAAGCATGATGCTTCCACCCCCATGCTTCACAGTAGGGATGGTGTTTTTGGGATGGTACTCGTCATTCTTCGTCCTCGTAACACAGCGAGTGAAATTAAGAGCAAAATGTTCTATTTTGGTCTCATCTGACCTTTCTTAGGATCATTGATGCGCCACGAGGTGAGATCTTGCATGGAGCCCCAGTCCGAGGGAGAGTGACAGTCATGTTTAGCTTCTTCCATTTTCTAATAATTGCTCCAACAGTTGATCTTTTTTCACCAAGCTGCTTGGCAATTGCCCTGTAGCCCTTTCCAGCCTTATGAAGATCTACAGTTTTGTCTCTGGTGTCTTTGGACAGCTCTTTGGTCTTAGCCATGTTAGTAGTTGGAGTCTTACTGATTGTGTGGGTGGACAGGCGTCTTTATGCAGCTACCGACCTCAAACAGGTGCTTCTAATTTAGAATAATAAGTGGAGTGGAGGTGGACTTTTTAGAGGAAGACTAACAGGTCTTTGAGGACCAGAATTGTTGCTGATTGGCAGGTGTTCAAATACTCATTTACAGCAGTAACACACAAATAAATTATTTAAAAAATCATACATTGTGATTTCCAGATTTTTTTTATATAGATTATGTCTCTCACAGTGGACATGCACCTAAGATGAAAATTTCAGACCCCTCCATGATTTCTAAGTGGGAGAACGTGTAAAGTCGCAGGGTGTTCAAATACTCATTTCCCTCACTGTATATATATATATATATATATATATATATATATATATATACACACACGTGTGTGTAAATACATGAATAAACAGCATCTTTTATATCAGTAATTTATTTTGATAAAATGGCTGATGTCCGATATTTAACTTTATCGCGAATATCGGCCAATACCGATACATGCCGATAATATCGTGCATCCCTAATCAGCAGTTTTTAACACCCATGGCTTTTTCGTTCTTTGCGGTGGTCCCTCTTCTCAAATCCACTCAACACACACCGATCACAACCTCACTGTTGTTTTGAAACCCAAGCTGAAGTACTCCACAATTTTGTTTCCTTCTCTGCTTCTCTACACACTTTTTTTTTTTTTTAACTTAGAAAAACACTGTTTTATGACACGCAATATTTATCACAAAAACTAAGCCCTTTGCATGCCTGCAGCAACATGATTCATCCTCTGGACTGTGAACCGGGACTGCACCACAGAAGCATGCCAATATGTCTGGGAAACCAGAAGGTGAAGGCTTTTGGGATGGAGAGGAGAACACGATCCAAGAAAAGCAGGAGAGCTAAAGTTCACGCTGTTCATTTCCATTTGATTACAGTGAAATAAGAACTAAAAAAAGATAATGATATTGAGAAAGACGAATGTCTACATTGTCCACAGGGGGCACGTTGGGACCTCTGGGCTGTTTTGTTGTTAACACTCAATTTGTTTCCCTTTTTGCTTCTTTTTTTTTTTTTTTTGGTTAGTTTTAAAGTAACTGTGTGAACACATCTTGTTAAAAGTGATGGGGAGGAGAGGGATATGGGTGAGGGGAGAGGGGTCTTGAGGGGGCCCCCCTTAGTTCCTACAGTAACACTAAAAAATTGGAGCTGAATTTAGATTTCATACTTGACATTTTTCCTGACACTATCAATTTGAAATAGATAAACATTGAGCTGCTTTGGGACCAACAGCGACGTGGTAAGACCGACTCCAGCCCATAAGTGAAGTGTGTGTTTGGCACACGCTATCGTCAGAGGACACAAACGCCGGTGACTTAGTGCTGTTTGGATCAGGAATGTCTTGTGGTTCCCAGCTCACTGCCACCACACTTGGCTGGCTCTCCCCAAAGATATAATGGGTGAGAGATTTTTCCATTGGATGTGGATAAAGAAGCGGAAAGAGAGAAAAAGTAGGGGGAGGGGAGCGGAGTGAGAGATAAGGGAAGATGCTCAGAATGAATAAAACCAGAAGTAGAGGGAGGACACAGTGAAAAGAATGTGAATGTGATTTGCAGACTTGCTAAATTAAAATAAAATGCTAGTGGGAAGGCGACAGAGAGTGAAATGGATGAGAGCGTGAGGCAGTGTGGGCGAGGGAGTAGGAGAGTGAGAGTGGCTGGCGTTTATGGATTACAGATGTGGTGCACTGGGGTTTTGGCAGGGGTTGTATGCGCCTGATTCGTGCACCGGCTGGGTGGCACCGGGGTGAGAGGGAGGTCACTGCACCGCAGCACACAACCCATAAAACAGACGGATGAGGAGGAGAAGAGAGAGGGGATAGGACACAAATGCAAGCCAGGACTGAAGGCTGGTAGGGGTGCACAGATTACGCTTTGAGTTCAACCAAACTCTTCTGATCTGGACCACCTATCCAACAAAACTGCTCAGGGGGCCACAGTTTCTGAAAGCCAACAGCTGGGGGGCGATTAAAATCATTATGTAAATAAGCCAAAATTTACAATGATCTGTTACCTTTTAAATTTGTTTATTTTGCATTGAATCATAAATGCAATAAACAGAACCCAAACCAAGAACCCACAACCCCTCAAAAAAAAAAAGT